TTATCCAGTAGTTAAAAAAATAGAAGCTGAATATTGCAGTAGAAGATTTAACTATTCACAGAAGCTGAATATTGCAGGGTATGATTTTAATATTCATAGAAGCTGAATACTGCAGGATGAGATTTAAATATTCATAGAAGCTGAATACTGCAGGATGAGATTTATATATTTCTAGAAGCTGAATATTGCAGGACAAGATGTATTCATAGAAGCTGAAAAATGCAGGATAAGATGTATTCATAGAAGCTGAATACTGCAGGATGAGATTTAAATATTCATAGAAGCTGAATATTGCAAGATAAGATTATCCATACAAAGATGGGCATTGTCGGCATTTGGTCCCTGTGACTGAACAACAGAATATGGCTCCCATTTATTCTGACAGTCAGAAACTGTCCAAGATTAAGGTCATAAATCATTTGGAAGTTATGGGGACTCTACCACATCATCTTCAGAAGAACATGCCTAGTTGACAGATCTCAAAAGAAAGTTTTAACATGTTCAGAAACATTCTGCCATTCCTTGTAATGAATAAAAATAACAGGACAAATTAACTCATTCAGTCTCACATGATTTTGAAGTTGATGCCTAAAACTGATATTCCCAACAATAAATATAGCATAAGTGCAATACTTTCAAAGATGCGTATTATGTGTCATGTGTTTTAAAAAAATCAAGCTAGATTTGTTTAATACTCAGACAAAATGTAAACAAATATAATACCACAGGATTCTGGATACACTAGTGATATGCTGATCCCCACATGATGCAATGTTTGAGACATAAAGAGTTAAGCCAGTGGTGCCAAATGTTTTAAAACTAAGAAGTTTGTCAATTTAAAAAGCCAGGGTATATTATACTTCAGTAAAAGGCACTGTATACTGTAATGGTAAGAAAATAGATTATACTTTAGCATAACAATGAGGTAGTATGTACAAACAAAAATCATCGTCTGCATCATGTTCCATGCCAATGAGCATAGGCTGTCATGTTTTGTCATCATACACGACCACCAAATTCATGGATCAGGTTAAGTCATCCAGGTGCTTATTGCCAATTAAAAATGCTGCCTTTACTAAGTAAAAGATAAATGACATATCTCATTTTAGTTTGCCATTATCTGCTGATGAAAATTGCTTAGCAATACCAGTCAATCTAACTTTTCAAACTATATCTTTGTAAACCTCTTCTTGATTTTAATGCAACTGAAATATTACACCACTGATAGGGACACTGTTTTAACTTTTTTAAACACATTCGTGAATGTACAACAAACTAAAATGCTCATAATTTTTTGGCTTCATAAATGTCTTAAATCTCTTTGTTTTCAAATGATCATTCAGATGTTTTTTCCCCCCAAAAAGTCACCAAGAAATAGTATTTGTCACACTTTGTGCCTACAGTATTAAGGACACATCATGTGTTATCAAGTAAGATTACAGAAATTGACAAATGTGTGACTTTTACACTGTGGTAGTGATTACTGTTGGAATTACATGAACATTTTCTAAATTGTCAGGCAAGCCAATATTTTTACAAGCAAATCAGGTCTCTAAAACTTAAGACCAAGTTTAATGTCTAGGGTGGTTGTTGTGAAGTTGAGAAGGGGTGGCGAAAGCCAGGTGAGTTTATAAGTTTTTACTGCATTCAAAATTACAAGGAAAACAACCAAAATGTGATGCAAAAGCATCACATATTTTGAACCAGCACTTTATAAATTTAATGAGCAACAAGCAACATTTTGTAGAGTTTAAACTTGAGAATGTGGGAACAGGATGCTGCAGGCCAGTGTTTCCCAACCTTTTGTTCCATGCCCCACTTAAGCCTTTCTAACATTCTTGTGTCCCTTTATGTAGCTTAAACTCTTGACGTGTCCATTTTTTAAATTGCCCCTTCGGGCCTTAAAAATCAAATCGCTACCCCCCGCCCCCCCCACCAATAAAATTGCACCCCTATGGAGCATGGGCCCCATGTTGAGAAACACTGCTACAGACCACTTTTATGGAGTGGCAATCAGTAAAGGAACAAATGGTTATATGGCAAAAAATGATTGCAGGTTAAGAGCTTAGTGATTCAGAAAAAGCACATTAAATTTATATCTTCTTCTTCTTCTTCTTCGATCCTTCTGTCAGAAAACTTATATCAGGAGGCCGGTAGCCTTTATGAAAGCTATCGTGCAATCCATATCCTCTTGTGTACCATACAGTTTTGTCTTCATTGTGGTTGGAACAGGCCAGATTGCGTCTCTGTTGTCAGCATACAGTTGACAGTGTTGGAGCACATGCTCAGCATTTTCGGGTGCCACGCTGCAGGGACACGTCTCCGTATTTCCTACACCGAAAAATTTGAACATATGTTGACGAAATCTGTTGTGCCCTGTCCTTAGTCTGAATATAATAGACTGTCCCTCTCTAGAGAGTCGATAAAGTGAGTCTTGGGGAGAAAATCTGGTGTGGGTATCCAGCCACCTTTCTTGGATACTAGATTGTATTAGTGTTTTTATCTCTTGGTGGGTTAAGTCGCTATTTGGTTGTACCATGTCACTGCTGCTTCTGGCCAATCTGTCCGCTATCTGAAATTCTATGCTCTAATTGTGAAAGTCTTCTCAATGGTCATATAACCCTAGCAGGTAAAAATGTGCCAGAAACAACAAGAGGGATGTGATAGTGCAGTAACCAGCCCTATTGTCTGCCAGCCAGAGATAGTCATAGGTTTGAATCCCATTGGCAGATTTTAAAACTGACCTGGGCTTAAAAGTCAATGCAGCCAAAAGAGAAAAGTACAAATCCCTTTTAAGGCCTTTGGCGCATCAGATATATAATGCTGCACCTGTAAAGCAGAATGCACCCTTGATTTTATCAGTGGTTGCCACTTTGAACATTTGCTGGCCAAACTTTCTGGGACTGAAGGAGTTAAAGACACTTGATGAGTCATGTGGTAGACATTTTGCAGCTTTCTTTACTTCCCAGCTCATTAGCTAGTGCCCATTTTCAGCTGAGATAATGCTCTAGAATATAAAAATGGCTTGCATGATACTGACCACAAAACCCACTGAGAGCTATACTGACCACATCACCTACTGAGAGCTATACTGACTACATCACCTACTGAAAGCTATACTGACTACATCACCTACTGAGAGCTATACTGACTACATCACCTACTGAGATCTATACTGACCATATCACCTACTGAGATCTATACTGACCACATCACCTACTGAGAGCTATACTAACCACATCACCTACTGAGAGCTATACTGACTACATCACCTACTGAGAGCTATACTGATCACATCACCTACTGAGAGCTTTACTGACTACATCACCCAGTGAGAGTTATACTGACCACATCACCCATTGAGAGCTATACTGACCAGATCACCCACTGAGAGCTATACTGACCACATCACCTACTGAGATCTATACTGACCACATCACCTACTGAGAGCTATACTGACGACATCACCCACTGAGATCTATACTGACCACATCACCCATTGAGAGTGGTCCATAAAAATATAGCACAAGTAATCAATAAACACTTCTCAAAGTGAAGAAATTAGTCAATCATGATTCAACTGGAATTTCTATTGCAGCAAAGTTGTTATGTATGCTGGCTTACTGTGCCTGTGGCATGTGTTCAATTCTCAGCAGTGGCAGAATTGTTACTGTTCACCAGTACAGCTCTGGGGTTGAGGGAAATGAAAGATAGTAAATTGAAATGGGATACCATGATTAAAAAACAGCAGACTTGCAGCAGCAGAGATCACTTGTGAATGTCCTATGTGTAAACAGTGACATGAAGAAGATACAGACAGTACAGATATGGTATCAAGCCAGTGTCACAAAATTAGTACAAAACCATTTTCAGAACTGTCTTAGAAATGTCTGGTCTTTGAGAAAGGGATACAGCCAATCTGTCTGACTATATCATGACCGGGCCTTTGTGTGTGTGTGTGTGATATACAATGGTACACAGTACCGGTAGCTTTTTTAGGCAGCAGTTTCTTTCAGTGCTACTCACTTCAGGTAAGTACCAGCATCTTTTTAAAACAAATTGTGGCGAGTATCAGTTTTTATGTCTAGAAGAAAACCCAGTCATGATTCATATGTGAAGGCCTAAACTACCGTCTTCAACAGTAGTATTTCCATGGGAATACCCTGCTTTGATAGGAGAGTTAAAGTAGACAGAGTTAGTGCTGCCAGATTTTCCATCATCGGATGCACACAAAAATGAATATTTAATTGTTTTGGTCAAGGGCCTTTGGGGGTAAGTGAACAATGTGGAGGTACGAATGAATTATCATGGTCTAGAGAGAATCATTCAGCAATGAGTGACCAGGGGATCTGGTGGATACACTATACTCAGAAGAAAGGCAAGACAAACATATACTTAAACTGTTACTGGCACCACTTGAATTGGATTGCTTTGCTGGCTGCTGAAGATGAAGACAAAGCGCTTATAGGAATTTCCAGAGTGCTCTGATGTCAGTCCTTAGATCAACAACACTCACCTTTGTCACTGTTTAGTGATCAATTTTACTATTTCATTAAACAGTACCAGAAATAGACTACATTCTAAAACAAAATATTCATTTTTTTCTGTGAAATTACAAAATGAAGCCATCCCTATTCCTCTTCCATATTTGTATCTTGTAATGGTAGAAGGGCTTTGCCAAAGCTAATGAAGAGTGGTGTTTAGGGGCCAGACTAAAAGGATGTGGTTTTGCAAGTAGCCTGACTAGAAAAGGCAAAGCCAAAAGAAATGCTTGTCCAGTATAGGGAGCCAAATTAGTGCAACTGAGTGACTTTATGATGCCAAGAAACTCTGGATTAATTTCTGCTGCCAAATACACTAGTCTGTTGGCACTACATGGTTAAAGATACAACTGCACCTGATTCTTTACTACATTTTCCACAGCACACGTAAACATGGAGAATAAATGTTGCTGTTTTATTTACGTCTCTTTCTCTTAACTTAACCTTTATATCAGACCCTTATACAATAGTAAAGCTTCGCAATCTACCTCTACCTATACCTCCATAAAACCCACTAGTATTGTCCGGACCTTTTGGTTGACGCAACACATTGGTCATGTCCAGCATTCTCGGTGCTGCTCTAGATAAGGAAGAAACATCTAGGTTGCGCCTTCCCAAATAAGAATTGCAGCCCGTTAGCTTCTCCTGGGAAATTCTAAGGCGCCGCTGCACCCATGAGTTTGGTGGAGCACTATCTCCTGCCGATGAATCTGCATTCTGCCTAACAATTTCTTGGGTGCTTCTGGAAATGAAGCTGGGCTGAGAGTCCAATAACAATGGTTTTGTTTGGAGTGGCTGCACACTGTAAGAATTACTGGCTGGATCGATCATATTCACACAGATGATGTTCTCCTCGAAGTATTTGTTTGCTGTTACAACAGTGAATTTTGACAGAGAATCACCCTGTGATCCATTGCTGCAGGGAAATGAATCCTGAGTTAAATCAGCAACACATGCTTTCTTCCTTCGACCACCTCGTCGACGCCTTTTCTTGTCATCACCTGGATAATCTTCAGGTGAGATATCACCTTTACCTGTGCCTTCTTTCTTTTTTATTTCTGTTTTCTCCTTCTTAAATTTATCTTCCTTCTTTTTAGGAACCATCAGCGGAATGACACGCATACCTTTTCTCCAATCATCACTGTTGGTCAGGATTTCACAAGCTTTCTGAGCCTGGTCATAATTCTCAAAAGCAACGACAGCACACATTGTAGATTCCAGTTCTGGGTGTTTGCTAGCAAACTTGTGCAAGTCACTTGGGATTGAAGAACCTGGACGAAGAATTCTGAAGTTATTTACACCACCACATTTGGAAAAAATCTCTGCCATATTTTCCATAGTCGGATTTTCAAGAGGCAAGTTGAGTGCTACAACAGTTCTGGATGGAACAGTTTCATCATAATCTGGCAACGGATCTTTTCTTCGCACCTTTGTACATTCTTCATTCAACTCCAATTTACCTGATGCTTTTAAACAATATGCCACAACATGGTAATCCCTTGTCAGAGCTTTCATTTTCTTGAAAGAAGTTATCAATTTGAGACTCACAAAACCGAAACGATTTCTTCTTACATGTTTGAGTAAAAAGGCATCCTTTAAAATGCTTTCATCTGAAAAGTAAAACTCAACTAGGGAAATAACCTTCTGTTTCAGCTCTTCATCCGGTGGACTGGTTAAAGTGTCCATGTCAGAAATGCTGCTGTTGTTACCAGAATGATCGCCATCACCTTCTTCGGAAAACTCTTTGCTGCCTTCTGGGATCTCATGGCGTCTGCTGGTTTCTTGCACACTTGGACACAAGTCGGAGTGGCGATTGCTGTTTTCGTTCAAACCTTCTCCAGCTGACGGAAATGAGAGGTCTTGGGTGGTAGACTCTGGTGTGGAACTTTCACCGCATCCACCAACAGGTAAATAGTCGAAATGATGAGAGACATCCTCCACGACAGCGCTCACCACCAGGCGGTGATGACGGTCGTCTGGCTCAGTCATATCAGGCAGGGTGACTCCTGTATTACCACTCATTGCTATGGCTCGGCGAGGAAGTCGCTGCGCAGATGGTTCTCCTCATAAAGGAAGAAACTCACGGCGACCAGAAGCTGATGTTACTGAAGCCTGCCAACCCGTCAACGTCGTGGAGGACACATTCAGGAGTAGATGCCTGCCACTGGCCTTTCCAAGGCTGGTGGAGGTTTTCGCCGGTTACTACGTCACAACCGGTGGTACACTTTGTTTATAGGGGACACTTGAAGCGTGTCAATGAGCCGAACTCATCAACGAAATAATGTACCGTAAATAATTTATACAATTTATTTTGAATATGCTACCGTTTACAAACCTCGTAAATAAATATGACTGTACCATAAATTAATACTTTTATATCTTATTTACCACTAGTGACAATAGTATGTCATTGATTACTTTCATGACAATATTTACTTTTTAAATGACCCAGATATTAATTACTAATTGCTTTTTGCTCACGTCGCCTGCGGTCAGAAGGTCATAGATTCGAATCTCCATCGAGGCGTGGATTGAAAAAAAGCTAATGAAAGAAGATCTGCATTTACAACAATAAGGAGATAAACACTGTTCTTTGGCCACGTAATGAGAAAAGAGGCATTTGAAAACATCATGATAACTAGAAACATCAGTGAAAAGAGGGGTAGAGGCAGACCAAGAGAAACGATGCTGGATGAGCTGAAACGATGGCATGGAGGGATATCATCAAGAGAGCTGTTCCAGGCCTCTAGGGAGAGTTATCAGTGGAGATGCATGAGTGCCTGAGCCAACTGAAGGGCACATGATGATGATGAGTATCATGTGGCCGATGTGCCACCACTACTATCCCCCATACAAAAGGTCATGGCTGACTGAAATCCCCTTATTCAGAAGTCAGCTAAGAATGCACATGCTTATATTATCAATGTCTGTATATTTCCTTCTCAGGCGTTGAATGTCGTCTGAAGCCTCTTCTCACTCCATATTGAATCCATCTCGTCAAATACAAACGTTCTATCATTTCTGCTGTTCAATACACCTGATCCCAGAATGATTTCCCTTCAGTTTCTCTCTCTCTCTCTGTCCTCTCTACTCTCTACTCTCTCTCTCTCTCTCTCTCTCTCTCTCTCTCTCTCTCTCTCTCTCTGTGTGTGTGTGTGTGTGTGTGCAGTGATTTGAAAGTTTGACTACATGAGATAAAATTGAGATTACGGAATCTCAGTCTGAATGATAGATTCCAGATACTCGGTTCAATCTCCCCAAACAATATATATATATATATATCTTTATCAGGTGTCTTGCCGACTGGACTGGGTGATCGTGCCTCTTCACAATCTACGATCTCCTGCATCATGTATCAGTTCGTGTGCTGATATACCTTCATGCTATGCAACAAAGCTGTCAAGAATCTTCTCTCGTTGTCTACTTCTATCCCTCCTTCCACAGATCTTTCCAGTCGTCACAACATGTTCCATTTTCCTCTTCTCAAAACAGGGCCGAAAAATTATGACTGCTTCTTCCTATGTCTGTGATAAGTTGTCTTCGAGATCCCGCTTCTGTCAAAACCTCTTGGTTGCTCTTTTTGGCTGTTCAAGGTATTTTAAGCTTCTTCTAAAAAAAACTCATCTCTGAGGCCTCGCGAAATTTGTTGGCCTGCCTACCGATTGTCCAGGACTCACTGCTATATGTTAAAACTGGATGTATATAGCAAGCAAGAATTCTTTTCTTACCGTCAAGGACATATATATATATATATATATATATATATATATATATATATATATATATATACGTACGTACGCACGCACACACATACATATATATATATATATATATTATATATACATATAATTATGGCACCTGTAATGGCTACAGTCTTCTTCTTCTGCCTTTCCATCCCCCAATGGAGCATAGGCCCTCAACCAACTCACGCCAAGTCGTTCTGTCCTTCGCCATTGCATGGAGCTCTCCCCATGTCCTCCCAATCTTTCTAACCTCATTCTCCAGCTCTCTTCTCTATGTGTTTTTTGGCCTTCCTTTATTCCTATGCCCCTGTGGGTTCCAATGCAAAGACATTCTAGTTATGCTGTTCTCCTGTTTTCTCAGTGTGTGCCCTATCCAACGCCAACGTCTTTTCCTCACTTCCTGATCCACTGGAGCCTGTTTAGTTCTCTCCCGAAGTTCTACATTAGTTATTCTATCATACCATTTTATTCCCTCTATTCTGCGCAGGCACCAGTTAATGAACGTCTGTAATTTATTAGTAATTGCCTTGGTTGTTCTCCATGTTTCCGCCCCATACAATAGTACTGATTTGACATTAGAATTAAAAATTTTTAGTTTAGTATTTCTTTTAATTTTTTTTGACCTCCACAAATTACCTAGTGCTATGAAAGCCCATCTTGCCTTTTGTATTCTAATTTTAATATCTCTATCAGTTCCTCCATCTTTATCTACATTACTGCCTAAATAGGTGTACGACTCCACGTCTTGGAGTGGGGTGCCATTAAGAGAAACCACATTACTATTTGCCTGATTTATTCTCATTATCTTTGTCTTTCCTTTATGGATTTTCAGACAAAGCTGCTGTGATCTCGCATTAAGTTTATTTAATTTATCTTGTATCTGATTCCGTGAATGGGACAGAAGAGCAATATCATCAGCGAAGTCCAGATCATCAAGCTGTTTTGTAGGGGTCCACTGAATTCCATTCTTGGAGTTAGCAGTTACTGTTTTCATAGTCCAGTCTATAGCCAGTAAAAATAAGAGAGGCGACAAAAGACATCCCTGTCGCACACCTGTTTTTATTTCAAATGCATCTGTTAGCTTTCCCTCATGAAGAACTCGACATTTCATGTCTTTATATGTTGCCTTTACTAAGTTGATAATTTTCTGTGGGATTCCATAGTGCCCCATCAATTTCCAGAGAGATTCCCTATCCAATGCTGTCAAATGCTTTTTCATAGTCTATAAATCCAATGTAAAGTGGTGAGTTCAGTTCAATGCTTTGCTCTATTATAATACGTAATGTGGCTATCTGATCAGTACAGGATCTGTTTGACCGAAAACCTGCCTGCTACAGTAACAGCTTGATTTAATCTGCAGTCGTGTGCTAATGAGAAATCGCACCATACTACGCAGAATTCACTGCATCCGTTTTTATTCCTAATTAGTATTTTTTATTTTTTTTTATTTCTATCGGAACCACAGCCCAAAAAGGTGTAACATGATACATTTCAAATAACAGTACAAATTACACCAATGTCTTAAATAAATAATTGCACGATACATCTGTTTGTACCCTCGTTCATCGGCTGTAAAATCTAGTTTAGGTTTAGACGACGGATCAGTATCTTGGCACAAGTTTAGTAACTCATAAGTGTTCCGTTCTACTCCTGACTCAAGCATGAGTCCGAAGATTCTTAGTGCAGAGCACGAACTTGTATCAGCGGCGAGGATCCTGAAATCGATTTTTAGCTCCAAATTTTGCCCGGACAGCGCCGTTAGTCTACTCTTTTTTCCATTTCCACCTTCCACAGAATGTTTTACGTGCGCAATAAATAATACAATACAAACAATACACACAGGCGTCCGATCTTACTACTTAGAGACCAGGATGAATTACTAGAAGTCCATGTGAAAAACAGGGCAAGTCTTAACCGGGGCCAGGCCTCGAGACCACGCATCTAGTGGAAAGTTATGGTTTTTCATCCACTTCAGGACTTCTGTTCCATAACTTGTGTTTTGCGTGTGCATCTGTTTTACAGAGCTGGCTTATCTGTGTGCCGACTGTTGTGCTCCGACTTCGAGGGAACTCCCTCGAATTGTAGTCTTACGACACGCTTGTTAGAGATGTAGCTAGTCTATTCTTGTCACGGCCTTCTCTATATATACAGAGGGACCTGATTCTTGTCACCCTTCTTTTCCCCTACAATGGGACCCTGAATTCACAGGAGGACACGATAAACAATAATAAATATATACTATGATATCCTTGTCATTGAGAGTTAGAAAAATAATTCTTGCTTGCTACATACATCCAGTTTTAACATATGGCTGTGAATCCAGGACACTCGGTAGGCAAGCCAAAAAATTTCTAGAGGCCTCAGAGATGTGGTTTTACAGAAGAATGCTTAGAATACCTTGGACGGCCAAAAACAGCAACCAAGAGGTTTTGAAAGAAGCGGGAGCCCGAAGACAACTTATCACAGACATCAGAAGGAGACAGTCATCATTTTTCGGCCATGTTGTGAGAAGAGGGTAAATAGAACATGTTGTGACGACTGGAAAGATCTGTGGAAGGAGGGATAGAGGTAGACAACGAGAGAAGATGCTTGATAGTCTTGTTGCATGGCATGGAGGTGTGTCTGCACACGAACTGATACACACTGCAGAAGATCGCAGATTATGGAGAGGCATGATCACCCACGCCAGTCCGTAAGGCACCTGATGATGATGATGATGACTATGATATTACAAAGAAAACTTCCTCTCCAAGTTATAACCCTGAGGTTATCTGGTAATCTTAGTTTCAGCTTCATAGCAAATGGGTCACCCCATAGTTGCTCCGCTCCTGTGGCTACGAAAAACACACAGAATGTGTATCACAGTCCGTTATGGAAAGATTGACAGACTGCTGTCTCAGCATATGCACTAGCATACACACGCATTAAAAGCATACGGTAGCTATCCGAAGTGCTAACACAAACAGTCCGAAATGCACTTCATCATGGATGGTAGCAGAAGTCACCATCAGATCAGCAGTTGCACACGCGATCAATTTTAATCACATATCGGCACCACTAATATTGCGACAACAGAAATCGCACTATTTTCTGAAAAAACATTCCAAATGAAATCCGCAGCTCATAGTTCGCACTCATCTCGGAAGCTGGGCGACGAAAATATGTTCTTTCAGTCTGCAAATGGGGCAAAAATGTAACGGCCACCGTCTGGCAGAAGCAAAAAAATTGCCACGGCTCAAAACAGTGACCGTGCCTAGCGTCCATTTTGACCCTGAGACT